ATGATTTAGACGTAATGTTGATGCCGTTGAAAGGGAATGGAAAGGTGTGTGTAGGTTGCGGCCAGTTGATTATTTTGCTTTGTTGCTTATTTTGTCAATGATGAACTTTGTTTTCATTGTTAGATGGTGTTTATTGTTGAGCAGATTTTATGCTGTTGAATGATAGATTAAAATTCTCGACTGTTTAATGACGTAACGAGATTCTTTCCCCAACAAATCGGCAGTACGACGGCAAATTTTGAGGAGAGATTTGAAAGTAACGATTAGCGGAGTAATTTCATTTTATCAAAAACTACCGCTATCTCTTCTGATCAGTGGTATTATGAGTGATATTTTCATTACTTTTTTATCAGCATTGCTATATGTGGATTATTTTCAGGGAAAAACGCTTTTTAGCAAATTAGCGATCGCCAAAGCTACTTTGTTATCATTGGTGTGCATTAAGCAATGACAATTCTGCTGAATGTGTGATGAAAGCATAGCAGAATAATGATACAGTGATCTCCCTGTTCCAGGTAAACTACGCTGTTCTTGATGGGAGCAAAACAATTCGACTGGAATAAAAGAGCACATAACAACATAGAGAAACAGGTTAGGGAGGAGAACAGAACAATTTTAACAGCAAAGCGCAACAAAAAATTTTCGGGACATTGTGGTACAGGAATGGAAGGGAACAGAATAGAAGTGCTCCGAAAATGACAGTGCAGAGCAAATGCTAAAAGTGTGGANTGTGGTACAGGAATGGAAGGGAACAGAATAGAAGTGCTCCGAAAATGACAGTGCAGAGCAAATGCTAAAAGTGTGGAACAGAGAAGTCACTGAGAGAGAATAAGAGGAACAGTGCAAAATTAGACTGCACTGCGCCAGTTCAGATTCAAGTTTGGCACTTCTTAATATTACCGCCACGTCGAGTTCCCTTATAGTCGGATTGCGTGCACGAAATACCACTTTCAAGAAGTCGCGTAGTTCTCTCCATTTGACAGTTTCCCTATTTAGCACATGGTCGGTGGACTTCTATAAAGATTCGAATTCAGCAAAACATTTGTGATTCATTCACCCGGCTGTAATGGAGCATGCTAGCAGCGAGATACCAATTTCTCCAGACAGCAGAACAAGAAATGTGCATTCAACTGATAGAATGTGCGAGTGTCCTGAATCAACACCTTTTCACTATCGTTCCAAAAATTCATGAAATCGGTTCAATCAAGTCATTATTGCTCTCTGCAATGCACGAAACATTGTTTTTGATCTCTTACGAGAACTTCAAAGTGTACGCATTTTTCATTTTGGTCTTTTTTGTCAGCTTCCGATGGGCCCGACAACGGTACAGCTTAGATTGTTTGGTACCAAAAAGCTAGTGAAAATAATGCACAAGTGCTTTAGGCTTCATCATCGCCACTATAAAATCGTAATATTGCATAGCATTTCTTCATTGCTAAGGCCTCCTTATTGTGGATTCGCATTTGAACCTCTATAATTGACCAGTTGGTTTGAAATCCTTTCTTTACATCGAAATTCTTTCTTTTCTTTGAAGTCCTTTCAGATCATTTCATTTTTTAAAGCACTGGAAATGTTTACGAGCATTCTCCCACCCGCTTATTCAAATGCTGTCCTCCAATATCTGATACTACCAGTCGGTTGGTTAAGACTCGCCAAGCGTAGTTCAGAAATAGTTCGGAATCCTTTGGTTGTTGTTTGCCGGGTGATACAATAAACGGATGCGAGCGCTGAAAGTGAATTAAAAATTGATCACGTTCGATATGCCAAACAGGAATAAGTCCTCCTGGGACAAGATTTATTAATGAAAAAAGCAAACATATTGTGAATGTGTTAATAAAGGCTTTAAACCTGTTGTAATTCTTTTGTAATCCCATTTCGGAAAAGTAATGTTATTTTGACATCTATATACGAATACAAATCCTGATATTGCTGTTTATTTCTTTCGTTGATTCGGCTCACGCCCTGAAATGCCGCCTCACGAGTTTTCAGCACACAGGATGTTTTTTTTGAATGCTTCGACATCGAAAATTAAGCTGCTATGATTTTTTATCAGTGAAACAGATTTGGCTTATTGTTTGGATTCACTGTAATATTTATCGATTTATGCAACTTTGAATAATTCATTACCCATTAAACTGCAATCAGTGCTTCATAAGACTAGCTTCTACTGAACCTATGATCAATTCAATATGAAGGGAATAATGTTCCCAAAAATAGTATCCAGAAAGTATAAAGGTGAATGATTGTCTCCCTTTATCTTACCAGTTGAAAAAAATTTGCTTTGATGCAATGTTTGTAGCAAAAATCTTCACCATTTCCCATGCGACACTCATCGTCATGTTCGTTCTTACATCCCCGTAATTCTCTTCTGCACAATAAATTCTGTCCCGCCTCAGGCTTCCAACTACATTCGATGACTAATCGTTTCACCTTCGAACGAATTGTTGCCTGTATTCGCTTCGAATTAAATTCACTTTTAGTTTCGTTTTACTTCGCAGTGTTCGAATGACTTCTGTGGCATGCAACATACATGCAACGGTACCGTTGCGTTAATGCCCAAAATCTTTGCAGACATTTGCACTCAATTTTTTTTCTCAGTAACTCGTGCTTCATTTAGTTGCAAATTCTCCAAGATCGTTCGAATACAAATTTTCAATTTTGTAAATTTATATTCGAGAGCTCGTCAGCGCAACAGGTTCGCAATAAATTATCAAACCTCTTCGACAATCGTTCTCCGAGTCTTTCTTTTTTTCCTCAATGTGAAATCCGGTTCATCATCCAGATCATTTGCTGCTGTCGCTAACTGTGAGTCATCATAATTAAATTTAACATAAGGGAGTCGCTCGCTGCGCGGTAAAGCATTTTGCTTCTCCATCAGTTCCAGTGTGTGTTGATTTATGCTAAATGATTCTATCAATTGCTGAGAGTTTAACTGGAGTACAAGTGAATGTCACTTCGCGTAGGAATAATCAGCTTTAGTCTGAATTGGTTTTCACTGATCAAATTCCAGTGCATAGGGATGAATTGTTGCTTCTGTTAACTATGAAACTGCCGAAGGAACATTTCTGAGATCAAATGTGAGAATCATGTTTCGATCCGATCGAGTGGTTGATAGAAACTGATCCTATGAATTCGCCCCTCACATCTACTTTTGTTAACTGAACCTTCCATTCCCATCTTCTGAATTTAAGGCGAAAGAAAAAAAAANAAAAAAAAACAATTTCTTGATAAAAGCGTTATATATTGAAACGAACTTGCTTCCTTCAAGTTTAATTTCAGCCTCGAACCTCGCGATTTCGAGAAGCTGTGGATCTAATCCCAGAATGCTGGAAGAGAAAATACTGTGATTGTGAATATCATTTTTTCATTATTGGACAATTCATTATAGGTGTGCTTTTCATAAAAGGTTCATTGTTAGAGGCATTAAATGTGATAAATGAATGCTGGATAGAAGTTACCAATGCAATTCCTACTACTGTACTGCACAATTTGATAGGACTTTCAGATTTTGTCACATTGAATTATCACAAAGTTGATTTGAATCGTTGAACGAATGTGTACAATTATTAAACAGACACGAATCAACCCTCACCATACTTGCATCGATGGACCATACGAACGCAGAAGGTTATTCCCAGGAGCTTTTGCGTGAATTATAAACGGTGCCTTGTCGAAATTCAATTCTTTTTCCTCTAACTTCCATTGTATCATAACGCAGCTTAATAATATTCCATTAGATTCTGTAGCATTTGCTAAAAGCTGCACTCTTAACCACCTTGAAGCACATCAAATGTATTTGAAATAAACCATTCTATGAAACGCTCTCACTTCTGCAGAAATGAGTTTTCTAAGTCGCCATTTGTATTGAATGCCGTCAACGAATACGAAGAGCCCCATTCTCCCCACGTGGCCTCGTAATAAGTTTTGAATCTGAAATTTCGCTTAAAGTGATTTGTAAACATCAAGTAGTTAATTGACAATTATTGTTTGCCATTTCAATTTTGCAGAGAATCGTTTTTGCCGATTGCGAACAAAATGATCGCGAACGTGAACATGCTGACTGCAAACAAAAGTTGAACGGAATGTGAAACACTTTAAAATTTACATCAGAAATTTTGAACTAGACAACTGTTGTCATTCTGTACGGCTGTCGTCAAATTATTGCACACTCTTACTATGTAGCGTTTATTTGGTCAAAATCTTATGCTAATTTTATGTTTGTAAGAATGTTCATGTGATCTGATAAGAGCTCGTTTTTTTCTGTGGTGATGAAAACTTCAAAATACGACGCCTTATGGTTAGATTTCATTTTCTAAACATTTTTATTCAACTACACCCATTCGGTATCACTGTCACTCTCATGCTCAGTAGTTTGTTACGTTGTTTGTTTTTGATAAACTGCTAGTGTTGCGAAAATGAATGAGAACGAAAAGACATCACTGAAATAACGATAAAAAATATTACTTTTCTTCCAGATTATACGCGTCCGGTTCACACGGAGGAAGTAGTATAATTGCCCTGAGCTGCTGCCTTTGCCAGGCTGCTTTTAGATCTTGCAAATGGTTAAACGTTACCGCCTGTAAACGTATTTTCATTCATTTAAACAACTGAACGTTAGTTGTATCAAAGAAAGGATTCAGTAGTGTGCTGCGGGGGCGGGAAAAAAGTCAGTGATCTGGAAAGTCGGAGGTGAATTTAGCAGTCGGAGATTCCGAGAACGCAGTCGGCTCGAAAAAACTCGGAGACGAGGATGGTTACTCGGGGCGGGATCCCCCGCAACACTTTAGCATTCACTATTGAATGCAGTTCCTCACACTTCACTGTCACAAAACTGCTGCATAAATGAACGAATGACAGTCGTACGTTCTCATGGTTCGTGGAACATTTTGGTGAAACTCGTTGAATATATTCGTAATTTCTCGACGAACACATCCGTAGTAATTCCTTCTAATAATGCAGTATGGGTGCAACTTCGATTTCGATTGCACGTATGTTTTTTTTTCGGCGATCTTTCATTACATTTTACGAGCAGTGAGTTTAGTTTCGGAATGTGGGCCAGCAAATTCTGAATGAAACGAGAATTATTGAGTGAACAAGCATACCCCATTGCTATATGCCTCTTCATATCTTGTTAATTCTTCGGGCGGATCTGGCTGTTCAATTTGTGGATGTGGTATTGCCATAGTCAGTTTAATCTGGAAGAGTATTTGGTATGAAACATCGAACAGCACTACTTTTACACCAGTTGAATTCAGTTCTGAAAACTGACTGAGTAGCAGAACGCCTTTCATCATGCACTATTCAAATTCATTTTATATTACATTGTCGATCTTCAGTATTGATTATCTGCTACCTACAATAAATTGTGGCACCTTAATTAGTCATTTACATTTAATAAATATTAGTTTCGGTTGTACTAATTATAAGGTCCCAAAAACCAACGATAATTATTTTA